GGCCTTCGGTTGCTTCCTCGGCGCCCGGCGCTCCCGCTCTCCCCGCCCGGGCCGCCGCCGCGGGTCGCGACGAGGACCGCCTCGTCCCTCCTGGCCGGGGGGGGGGGTGGTTCTGAGGAGACTTGTTTCTTCCTTTCGGGGAGACAGCCATTCTTCCCGTGTGGTTTACGAGTCGGGCCCGGTTCCTCCCACACCCTCAGTTTTGGAGAAACCTGTTTTCTTAATTGGAGGAAATGGGAACCTGCTCCCGGTCCGTCCCCTCGCTGCCCCCGGGGGCGGGGAGGTCTGGCCCTCCGGTGAATCTCCGAAGCGTCCTGGCTCCGCTCCGCGCCTTTCCCCACCTCTCCGGCCTGTTAGATAGTCCGAATTCGGACGGAGCGTCTCTCTGGTATTCTCTCTCCCTCTCTCTCCCCTAAGTTGTGTGCTCCGTGCCCAGCACACCTACCTGTCCTACTTGTTTTCCTGCGGAACGTTGCACCGAACTAGGGGCGATCTTTACGAAGGATTGGGTGCCAGCTTGTTAGTTTTAGCAATTTACTCAAGAAAGTTCACTTTTGCTCCTATAAATCTCCCTGTGGTAGGTCCACCTCGTGTTCCCAGTTCCAAGCAGTGCTTGTCCTGCGCGATACCATCGCCCAGCTGTTTTCCACCCCTTCACTCCGAAGTCTCTTTCATTTAGTAGACTTGTGATTGAGTGCTTGTTAGGGCATAAACAAACCCTTTTCTAGGCTCCTGTAGGCTTGCATATTCAGAAGAGAATTTCCAGAGGTTGGCCTTCCAAGGTGGGGGCGGAGGGGGGAGTTGATATTTTAGCTCAAAATCAAAACTCTGTGTAATCCAAGTTTTGTTTTGTTCTGTTTTCTGTAACTTTCACAGGTGATTGAATTATTCAGATAAGAAGATCATCTTCTAGGTTTTGTGTAAAAGGCCCCGGATATTTCAAGTGGCCATTTTGGAATTACAATGTTTTTGGATAATTTTGCCCCAGAAGTTTAATAAAAATTGGCAAGAACCATCTCTGAAGTGAATTGATAGTAGTGAACAAATTCAACAAGCTAAAGAGACCCAGTCATTTCTTCATTATTTTGGTTCACATGGATTATATAACCGGTTAAAGTTTTTCAGCTGGTGGTATTTTTTTGTCTCCCCCCCCACCCCCCTTCCCCGTTAACTGTTCTTCAGCCCAGACTGTAAGATGTTTGATGTGTATACTGAGTAGATTCAGCATTTTCAAATTACTGTTTATTGCTGAAGTTTCATGGCAGTTTATTTTTACCTTTATTGAAAGTTTTAGGAATTTTTGACCTTAGCCCTTTTCATGTCACAATGGGACAACTTTTCTAAATGAAGACATTGAAAGAATACAGAGTTTTTTTCTTTCTATCTTTTATTTACGTGGAAATTTAAGATGTTACAGTTTTGTACCAGCATGGTAGTGTTGAGATAGCTATTTGTATATGCTGGTGTTGAGAAATATTCCTCAGATGTGAAATTTTCTTTTTTATTTGTACTTCTTGGCTTATAAGTTGGATATTTTCATCTGGAGTGGATAAGTACAACAGTGACAAGTACATGGAATAATAAAGAAGACTTTGTTCTTAAACCCAAGGAACTTGGCTAATTCTGGAGATAGCCATATGAAAACTTTAAAACAGAAGTATGGGTAGCTGACTTGAAAAACTCTATGTCAAATAGTCATAGGTTAAGTATCTTCAAAGAACTTGGATATTTCAGAGGATACAAAATCAAAAAACAAACTGGAAAACATAAAGATAATAGAGAAAACAACACCTTCCTGTGCAGTCCTGTTGGAATTTGTAAGTACTGTTATGGTGAGCAAATCAAATCTTCATTTGTAAACTAACGAGAATCAAATTTAACCTATTATTCTTGGAAAGCTTTCAGTTTCTTGCAATAATATTGCTTGGCTTCAGTTTCCTGGAAAGTGTGAAAATAATCATTAACCATAGTTTGAATGAACTGAAATGCAGAAAAAAATAATTTTAAGGCTTAAGAATATTTCAAATTTGTAACAGTTCTAAGTTACAAGTTTTTTAAATTTCTTTTTTGTTGGTCATGGGGTTTGAACTTTGGGCCTGGGCACTGTTTTTCAGCTCATCAGTTCAAGGCTAGCACTCAACCACTTGAGCCACAGTGCCACTTCCGGTTTTCTGATTGTTTATTGGGGACTTTCCTGCCCCTGTGACTTTGAATGTCTCAGCCTCCTGAGTAGCTAGGATAACAGGCGTGAGCCACTGGCGCCTGGCTACAAGTTTTTTACTTTTAAAGAAAAAAAAAAAGCTCAGTCCATCTTGTCGGTATTTACTGTAGGCTTTATAGATTGATATGATGGTTAGCTATTTTGCTTTTTTGTTTTTTACTTTAAAAACTTTTTGTGATAATAAAGGTGATGGACAGAAGGGTTATGGTTACATAAGTCAGGTAGAGTAAATTTCTTCTTGGACAATATCAGCCCTTTCCTTGCTCCCAGGTTGACTTACATTTTAAATGTATGCATGTTGATTGCAGTTTGCCTTTTAAATGTATATGTAGACTGCGTTGCCCATAGAGCACTCAGGTTTGGATTTGTAGTTCTTTAAAACGTGTTATAAGGAGCTAGGAAGATTGCTCAGTGGTAGAGCGCTTACCTTGCATGCTGAGATCCTGGGTTTGATTCCTCAGAACCACATAAACAGAAAAAGCTGGAAGTGGTGCTTTGGCTCAAGTGGTAGGGTGCTAGCCTTGAGCTGAAGGGCTGAGGGATAGTGCCCAGGCCCAGAGTTCAGGCCCCACAACTGACCAAAAAAAAACAACCAAAAACCCGTGTTATAATAAGGTATTTGATTTTTAATCTGATACTTTTTTTTTAAAAAAAAGCTTAGGTTAAGTTGCAGCCTATTCTAACATAGAAATTAAGTTTTTGAAACAATTTGTTGAAGTGGTTTTGCATTCAAATTAAGTTTTTAACTTCAAAAAGAAAACTCATTGCTAAGCAATAAATAGGAACTGAGTAAACTGAATTAAGAACTTTTTTTTTTCCAGTCAGGCACTTGTGGCTCATGCCTGTAATTCAGCTACTCAGGAGGCTGAGATCTGAGGATTACGGTTCAGAGCTATGCCGGGCAGGAAAGTCCGTGAGACTCTATCTCCAGTTAACCACCAGAAAACCAGAAGTGGCACTGTGGCTCAAGTAGAGTACTAGCCTTGAGCAGAAAAGCTCAGGGACAGCACCCAGGCCCTGAGCTCAAGTCCCCCAACTGACAAAAAAAACCCTTTTTTTCTATTAGTAATGTTATACTGACAAGTTTATAAGCAATGTGTGCAATTTTTTTTTTTTAACGTTGGTTGTGGGGCTTCAACTCTGGGCACTGTCCCTCAGCTCTTCAGCTCATGGATAGTGCCTTACCACTTGAGTCACAGCGCCATTCAATGTGTGCCTTTTTAAGAACTGCTGTAATAGAAATCTGTTTGACAAATGAGAAACTTGTAATGATACTTGTATATTTTCAGGTTTGAATGATTTTAGTTGCTATTAGCTACTTATATTTACTTTTAGTGAAGTGCAGGCATTCAGAGTGGTTTTTTTTGTTTTGTTTTTGTCCAGTTTTGGGGCTTGAACTCAGAGGAGCCTAGGCTCTGCCCCTGAGCTTCTTTTGCTCAAGGCTAGCACTCTACCATGTTAGCCACAGTGCCACTTCTGGCTTTTTCTGTTTTTGTGGTACTGAGGAATCGAACCCAGGGCTTCATGCTTGTAGGGCAAGCACTTAACCAATAAAGCTACATTCCCAGCCCAAGGAATGTTATTTTTAAAGAATTCACTAATATTTTAAACAGTACATTGGTGAATGCACCAGCTAAGTTTAGATTTTATTCCATCTAATTTTCTTTTCTTTCTTTTTTTTACTAGTCCTGGGGCTTGAACTCAGGGTGTGGGCACTGTCCCTGAGCTTCTTTTGCTCAAGGCTAGCACCCTACCACTTGAGCCACAGCGCCACGTCTGGTTTTTTCTGTTTATGTGCTGAGGAATTGAACCCAGGGCTTCATGCATACTAGGCAAGCACTCTACCACTAAGCCACATACCCAGTCCATCATCTAATTATCTTTTTGAGATACATTGTAATTTTTGAAAACTTTTTCCAAGGTGCCTTATTAGTTGTTCATTTATTTCTAAACAGAGCTTTTTTTTTTTACTCACCTGTTGAATTCTGTTTATTTTCTTAGAGCAAAACAAGTATTAAGAATAAAAGGATCTAGGTATTCATATACTCATATTTAGACATTTTCTGCTCTAAAATTGAGATTAGGGAGTTTAACAACTCCTCTGGCATAACAAGCTAAGGTTGTGTATATTTTCATAGTTAGATCAATTTGTAGTATTTTTTTTTTTTTTTTTTGCCAGTCCTGTGGCTTGAACTCAGGCCTGGGTTTTGCTCAAGGCCATCACTCTACTGCTTGAGACACAGCACCACTTCCGTTTTTTTTCTGTTTTATGTGGTGCTGAGGAATTGAACCCAGGGCTTCATGCATGCACTGTCGTATTTCTATTTTTAATTAATTTATGAGACAGACTCCCCTTAAGCAGCTAGGCTTGCCTATCCTGCAACTCAACCATAAAACCCAGGTTGGCGGCCTGGGAAGGTGGCTCAGTGGTTAAGGTGCTTGCCTTGCATGCCTGAGGCCCTGGGTTCGATTCCTCAGCACCACATAAGCAAAAACAAAAAAGCCGGAAGTGGCACTGTGGCTCAAGTGGTAGAGCGCTAGCTTTCAGCTGAAGAGCTGAGGGACAGTGCCCAGGCCCAGAGTTCAGGCCCCACGACCGGACCCCCCCCCCAAAAAAAAAAAAAGAAAAAACCCAGGTTGGCCTCACTCCCATCTTCATGCCTCAGTGCTGGGATGGATAGCATTATACTACCAGATTTCACTTGTAGTGCATACAAATTGGTGAGAACATTCTATTCTCCTCCCCTTGGGAGAGCCTGTATTTTATCCATTTCAGTTTATTGATTTATTGAGTTCAAGTTACTTGTCTATTCTTTAATGTGAATAAGAAGTTGGTCTGGAATTACATGACCTTTTTTTTTTTTTTTGTCGGTCTTTGGGTTTGAACTCGGCCTGGGCTCTGTCCCTGAGCTCTTCAGTTCAAGGCAAGTGCTCTATCACTTGAACCACAGTGCCACTTCTGGTTGGTTCTCTGGTAGTTAATTGAAAATAAGAGTCTCAGACACTTTCCTGCCCAAGGCTGGCTTTGGACTGCAATCCTCGGATCTCAACCTCCTGAGTAGCTAGAATTACAGGTGTGAGCCACTGGTGCCTGGCCTGCCTGACCTTTATTCATAGAGAAGAAGCACGTAACACCCTATTGGGGATGTTTTTGCAAATAGTTGAATAAATCACTCCATTAACCACAATTTTTAATACTTCTTCACTAGTTTTAACTTTGTGAACTTTGCTTACAGCAATAGTTCTAGGACAGATTTACTTCGCCTGAATGTTTTGATATTTTCAATATTTTATACTTTCTGGTTATTAAAGTATACATTATTACTTTTATAATTAGAACCATTGTAGGACTGTTTCCCTTCCCCAATTTCTCCCTGTTGATTTTTCCCGCTTGTCCAAACTCTAGGTCTATAAATAATAATTATGGCTGACATTTATGGATAATGGTACTGTCGTATGTTTTGCTGTGTATTTTACATGGCTTCTCTTGTGTGTGTATGTACACATGTGCCTGTGTGCTGGTACTTAGTCATGGCCTCAAATTCTGAATTAGCTTTTTTTTTTTTTTTTGGGTCCGGTCGTGGGGCCTGAACTCTGGGCCTGGGCGCTGTCCCTCAGCTCTTCAGCTCAAGGCTAGCACTCTACCACTTGAGCCACAGCGCCACTTCCGGCTTTTTTTTTCCTTTTTGCTTATGTGGTGCTGAGGAATCGAACCCAGGGCCTCAGGCATGCAAGGCAAGCACTCTACCACTGAGCCACCTTCCCAGCCCAAATGGGATTGTCTTTTAATGATGGTGTAAGAAGTTTTTAATGCATTTTTTATGCCAGACCTTATTAAATATGATACGCATGTATTTTCTATTCTTTCTGTTGTTTTCATCTCTTGTGTGTATCCCTCACTCCTTTTTGGAAAATAAACCCAATGCTTCACACATGCTAGGCAAGTATTACTAGGACTGAGCCACCAGTGCCCAGCCCGGCTGATAATGTTTTTGTTGTTGTTGTTGCCAGGCCTGGGGCTTGAACTCAGGGCCTGGACACTGTCCCTGAGCTTCTTTTTGCTCAAGGCCAGCAGTCTACCACTTGAGTCACAACACCACTTCCAGCTTTTTCTGTTTGTTTGGTACTGAGGAATTGAACTCAGGGCTTCATGCATGCTAAACAAGCACTTTACCACTAAGCCACATTCTCAATCCTGCCCTTAATGATGTTCTTTGCACAGAAGTTTTTATTGTTCACAAAATACAGTTCATCCCCCCCCCCACCCCCGTTGTTCCTGATTTTGGTGTAAATATCTAAAAATCTCTTGATATATCCAGGGCCATATATTTTTCATCTTTGTGTTTGCTTCCAAGAATTTTATTTCAGCTTTTATGTTTAGACCTTGGTCAATTTTTTTCAGACATAAAACCATCATTTATTATAGTCATTATAGTTGTAGAAGTTATTTTTCCTTTTTGACATTTGTGGAATATCAAGTGACATTTAATACATGTACATTATAGTGTAATGATCACATAAGGGCAATTAACATACCTGTTATCTCAGATACTTACCAGTTCTTTGTGATAAGAACATTCAAAGTTGCTTGGTTAGTGTAACATCCACACAAGTCTACATTGATTTGATTACTCTGCTTATTAAAAGGTTGGTGTGGTAGTATATGCTTAGAACTTTAGCATTCTAGAGGCAGTGGGGGTGTGTGTGAATTTGAGTGGAGTCTGAAGCTGCATGGTGAGATTCTGTTGCAACTCCTTCCTCCCCTCCCCCCCAATAATAAACAGACAAAAAATGGCTTAAGGTGCTGGTGGGATGGTAGCTTTTCAGGAGGCTGAGATTTGAAGCCAATCCTGGGCAGAAAAGTCCAAGAGATTTTCTGTAGTGCAAGTGGTAATCAGTTTTTACTTTTTGAAACAATCATCTGATAAAGAACCAGAAGGTTCATTCATTTTGTATGCTGTGCACTATGCCAGTCATTGGAACAGTTGAGTTTTGCAAGGGGAAAAGTTTATTTATGAGGTGGCCAAATTTGAGGACACAGGGAAATAACTCTCAAATCTGCCTCCCTGATGTAGGGTTTAAGGTACTTATGGGATAAAGAAACAGTGGTCTCAGATGTATGGAAAAGTGATTGGTGGTGTGTGCATGTGTGATCAGACTTCATGGTTCTTCATTGGAGAAAGTATAGCAAGTGTTGGGTTTTAGCATGCTGTGAGGGTGGAGAGTGTGGCTTTCTGATGTCAAGACACTTGTAGGCCCGAGTATAAGGTGAATGATTTCAACTGGTTAGAGTTTTCTTCAGGTTCCTGAAAAACAGTTTATGCAACTATTCCTTTCCTTACTTGTAATGTCAGAGGAATTACTACCTATAGAGCAATGTTAATGGGAGTGTATTCCTTAGTTATAAGGGGACCTTTAAAATTGATGGTGGAAGCAAATGCTAGAGGCTTTGTTTTCTGCTTGGTTTCATGGCCTTAATCACATTTCAAATTCCATTTGGGGTATGGGAAAACATATGCTGTAGATGATACTCTGTAGATAATATTGTTTCACATCAGTAGACACTTTATTCTATTTGTTTGGTAAGTTTTATTTCTGGGTACTGGTGTATTGTGCCTGTAATTCTAGCTATTGAGGAGGCTGATATCTGAGGATTGAGGTTCTAAGCCATCCAGGGTAGGAAAGTCAGTGAGATTCTTCCATTTAACTACGGAAAAGCAGTGTGGTGAGGTGTGGCTCAAGTGGTTGAGTGCTAGTCTTGAGCAAAAAAGCTCGGGAAGCATCAAGACCCTGAATTTAAGTGTCAGGACCAGCATCTCCCCCTAAAAAGCTTTATTGAAGTATACTTTACAAAAGAAACTTAAGTTCTAAGTATACAACTAATAACTTTGTAAAATGTCATCAAGCAAGATATGCCTCATTGCCCCCCCCCCCAAATTCCTTCTTCTGCAATCATTCTTCCTCTATAACTGTCCTTTTTACTTACTTTTTTTTTTTTTTTTGACAGTCGTGGGGCTTGAACTCAGCCTGGGTGCTGTCCTTGAGCTCTTCAGCTCAAGGTGAGAGTTTTCCCACTTAAGCCACAGTGCCACTTCGTTTTGTGGTGGTTTATTGGAGATAAGATTGTCACATTGGCTTTCCAAATGCCCAGGCTGACTTTGAACCGAGATTCTCGGATCTCATCCTCCTCAATAGCTAGGATTATAGGTGTGAGCCACCAGTGCCCGGATACATTTTTTACCTTTTGTAGGTTTTTATTCTGTGAAAGACAAACTTACAAATTAAAAGATTTTAATTGACTTTATTCTAGCTTTAGGCAGCATATCTTTGTATAAAATAGGATAAATGTGATGATGGGTTGAGTATAAGTTGGCTTTATAAACAGAAAAGAATTGAAGAAATGGAAAGACAGATTGGTTGTTGCAAATTAATCTTACAAAGGGGATAGTGAATTATGAGGGTGGGATAGGGATTAAGGCAGAGGGAGATTGGCTATCATGTTGATTTGGAACTGGTCTGTGGTAAACTTAGCGATTATATCTCTTTCCTGATTTTTCTAGAGGCCAGATAACAACTTAGCTTCAGTTTGGTAATGAGGAACTTGAGTGTGATTGATTTCACTTTGATTTTTAATCTTGTTGAGGCCTACTGTAAGAGCTTAATCCAAAGCCATGGTCTCCTGTGTAATTAGACTGTTATTATTTAACTTTTTATTGTCAAATAAAGGTGATGGACAGAGGGGCTACAGTTACATAAGTCAGGTAAGGGGCACATTTCTTTTTGGACAGTGTCATCCCTTCCCTCCTTACTGTTTTTGTGCCTGCCCTGGGACTTGAATTTAGGGCCGGCTCAAGGCTAGTGCTCTGCTTCCGTCTTTTTGGTAGTTAATTGGAGGTGAGAGTTACAGACTCTACTGCCTGGGTTGGCTTAGAACTGCAGTCTTTAGATCTAAGCCTCCTGAGTAGCTAGGATTACAGCTGTGAGTCACCAGCACCTGGCATAATCAAAATATTATAAATGATATAAATCTTGAGCAGTAGGGTCATGTGATTTAAAAGAAGTATGGTAATTTTGATTAGGAGCTACAGGTCTAATTCCTTCCATTTTATGTGACAGGGACTTGCCATGAGGTGTTGAAGCCTTGTTTCATTGAGTCGGAGAGACTGGACCTAAATGGCGCAGCATGACTTTGCTCCAGCCTGGCTTAATTTTCCTACTCCACCATCATCAACAAAGGTATTCTTTTCTGCATCTGTCTGTCTGTCTCTCTTGCTCATGTTATATGTATATGTAACCAGAATGTGAAGGCTTTGGCTGGGAATGTGACTCATTTGCAAAGCACTTGCCTATCATGCACAAAGCCAGTGTAGCAGGAGGACAAAAAAGCAAACAGTTTATTTCTAGAGTACCAAGTTATTTCATACTTAACTTACAGGTTTTATTAAAAAGTTTTCAGAATACCACTAATACACTAGTCCATTTTCTTTCCAAGGTTGTCTTAGTTTAGTAGTCAAGGTTCCACAATCTTACCCTTTTTCTTTTTTTGTCAGTTATGGGGCTTGAACTCTGTGCCTTGGCGCTGTCCCTCATCTCTTCAGTTTCCACACATTTTAATTCAAACCAGTTAGCTACTTTGAACTTACATGTCAACTTTTTCCTGTTCTTTTCTTTATAGTTTATCTTTTAAAATACTCCCTGACTTTGTTTGATATTAATTGCTCTGTTAAGTAGTGAAGTGTCTGTCTGTATCTATATCTATATCCAATCAGTCAACCAACCTACCTACCTATTCTGTCTGTTCTATCTATTCTATCTGTTTTGTCTTTTCTATCTATTTGTGAGTACTGGGGATTGAACTCAGTACCTGGAGACTTTTTCTCACACCTAGTACTCTACCACTTGAGCCACATCTTACAGTCCTAGACAGTATTCTTTATAAAGTTTTCTAAGTACTTTGCCAAATAACCTTTTGGGCATAATTGCATGAATGTTATTTAGAGTTAGTACTAGTTCATGCTACATTTATTTTAAATGTTACATTTATCCATAAAGGGAAAGTGAAATAATTGCCTTCCAGAGTTTTAAAGGGCATGGGCTCCCTTGTCCAGGGATGTTTTCATTTTATCTGGGTTCTCTTTATCTTTTCCTGATCTTAGTAAAGCTGTCTGCCTCTTTGGTATCATAACCATCTGTTAGGTTCTATTAAATGCAGATTGATGTTATTTTCAACTATGCCCTAGGGTATAAATTGCCCCTTGTTCTGATCCAGTTTAATTAGAAACGGTATGGTTTTTGAGGCTTGTTTTGAGGTTTTAACCCAATAAGGCTCTTCTTCAGTTTCTGGAATTTTTTTTGCTCTGAATGGCCTTATTGGTTTAGCTTGTTACCTTTCACTGAGAGTAACCACCAGCCTCCATATATGTACATATGTATTTATTTCGATTTTGTTTTTACTTTTTTAATACCTGCTAAAATCCCAGTTGTTTCTTGGGATGCTTTTAGGCTTAAATGTACTCATCTGTGTTTCAAATAAAGCAGTTCCTTTGAGGAACAGTTTATTAGGTAGCTGTACTATGGGGAGTTGGGGGCCTCATTATTCTAGGCCTAATAAACCTAAAATGGAACCTTCCTTTTGCAAGTGGGAATGGGCAGATGAAAGGAGTCTGATTTCTTGACTGCATTCATTGGGAACTTGACCATCTAAATTGTAGTTTGAAGTGATCAGATAGCCCAGATGCCAGATGGTAGACAACTATCTTTTTTTTTTTTTTGGCCAGTTGTGGGGCTTGAACCTCATAGAGTCTGAGTGCTGTTCCTGAGTTTCTTTTGCTTAAGGCTAGCTATACCACTTGAGCCACAGCGCCACTTCCGGCTTTTTCTGTGTATGTGGTACTGAGGAATTGAACCTAGGGCTTCATGCATACTAGGCAAGCACTCTACCACTAAGCCACCTTCCCAGTTGAGAATCATCTTTTTTGAGCCTTATCTTCAGTTGTAGTTCAGATGTGAAGAGTAGGAGATTGTGTTTTTTTTTTTTTGTTTTGTTTTGTTTTGGTTTTTTTGGTCATATGTGGGGCTTGAACTCTGGGCCTGGGCACTGTCCTTGAGTTCTTGAGCTCAAGGCTACCTCTTTGCCACCTGCAGTTGTCTGGTGGTTAATTGGCGATAAGAGTCTTACAGACTTTCCTGCTCTGCCCGGCTGGCTTTGAACTGTGATCCTCAGAGTAGCTAGGATTATAGGCCTGAGCCACTGGTTCCTGGATGAAATTGTGGTTTTTATGTCATAAATTCCTGTAGTACTACTGGTGAAAACTATTAAAAAACAAACATTGTCTGTAGCTCATACTTGTAATCATAGCTACTTAGGAGGCTGAGATCTGAGGATCATGTTTCTTTCTTTTTTTTCTTTTTGGTCCGGTCATGGGGCCTGAAATCTGGGCCTGGGCGCCGTCCCTCAGCTCTTCAGCTCAAGGCTAGCGCTCAACCACTTGGGCCACAGTGCCACTTCCAACTTTTTTTTTCTTCTGCTTATGTGGTGCTGAGGAATCAAACACAGGGCCTCAGGCATGCAGGGCAAGCGCTCTACCACTGAGCCACCTTCCCAGCCCTGAGGATCATGTTTCTAAGCCAGCCTAGCAAGGAACATCCATGAGACCCTTCTCTTCTCTTCAGCTAACTATAAAAACAAAAACATGTAAGGTCTCCAAAATTTGTGTAAGGTTACATAGCATATAAAGAGACATTTACTCAATATATGTACCATATATAGTAAGAATTTTTTATGATCATCTTTTACTTTTCCCTGCATAATTTTTTTCTATCTTTGTAGATATATATTTTTCTGTAATAAGACTTTATATGACATGACTGCAATTTTAAGGATAAAATGAACTTCTCAGGTCTCACTTAGGAAACATTTCACTTATGAATAAAGGTAGAGTACTTTGTGCAGATATGTTTATAATATCTTCCACTGTTAAATGAAATTAAAATTAGCATCTATTATTAAGACATAGTAAGAAAGTTCTCCATATTGTTAGTATTGGTCTTTTTATGGGTAGTTTATGGGCTATTAATGATTCTTTTAAATCAGTAGTCTGACAGGTATGAGATACTTGTCTATTTTGTTTTGATTGTGTTACAGTATTTTTCATTAGTTTGCCTTGTTAATGAACAAAGTTTTTGGGGGAATTGCCTAGTGTACAGACATATAAAATAACTATAGATGGACATAGATAAAAAGAGTAAATAGGGCTGGGATGTGACAAAGTGCTTGCCTAGCAAGTACAGTGTCCTGAGTTTGATTTCCCTGGTACCAAAAAAGAAAAGACAAAAAAAATACAGTTAAGAAAAAAACCCAAACAAAAAGAATAAATAAATAGTCTCTTGGCTGGGGGTGGGGGGTGGGGTGGAGGAGCTATATTGGGGCTTAAACTCTTTCAGAGCCATGAACTCTCTCAACTTTTTTCTCTCAAAGCTGGTGCTTTACCACTTGAGCCACACCTCCACTACCTGAACATTCTTAGCTAATGAAAAAAGTAGAAGGAACCCATATCATTAAGTATTTAAATTATATTTTTGATATGTAACATTTTACTACTTATGAGATTTTCCATAGTAATTTATATTTGAATTTAGTCAATCTATATTAAAGTAAGTAGAAAGTAATTTCAATAAACATCATTTTATATGATCATATGCCCATAGCATAATTGAACCTTTGTCCATAGTGATCTCCTAAGAATATCCTTTCTTGGTTTCACTGTGTGAATGTCTAGAGTCCTGTATGATTTATCATGTCCAAGTGTATTTTTTTTTTTTTTGGGGTCCGGTCGTGGGGCCTGAACTCTGGGCCTGGGGGCTGTCCCTCAGCTCTTCAGCTCAAGGCTAGTGCTCTACCACTTGAGCCACAGCATCACTTCTGGCTTTTTTCTTTTTGCTTATGTGCTGCTGAGGAATCGAACCCAGGGCCTCAGGCATGCAAGGCAAGCACTCTACCACTGAGCCACCTTCCCAGCCCCCCCCCCCAAGTGTATTTTTTTGTCTTTACCATCCAGCGTGTTTACATGTAGATTTATAGGCATTTTCTAATTATAACAAATAAGGGAAAACTCATACCAATCTATGTTTCTTTGGGTCTGGTTTACTTTGCTTATAATGTAATTTTTTCCAAGTCTTTCCATTTTCTTATGAATGGTACAGTATCATTCTTTTTGATGGAAGCATAGAATTCCACTGTGTGTGTGTGTGTGTGTGCGCGCTTATATGTATTTTGTATGTATATACCACATTTTCTTGATTCATTTGTCTGCTGAGAAACATCTGTGTTGATTACATATCTTGACTATGGTAAACAATGCTGCAGTGAACATGGTTATAGCTTTAGAAATGGAAACAGGAGATTTTATGTTGTTTTTTGCTTTTTAAAATTTTCAAATTTATTTTTCTCCTTTGTCACTGTTTTTGATTTCTATACTGCTTTTTTTTGTTGGTCGTGGGGCTTGAACAGTGGGCCTGGACTGTCCCTGTGCTCTTCGGCTCAAGGTGAGCGCTCTGCCGCTTGAGCCACAGCTCCACTTCTGGTTTTCTAGTGTTTTTTTTTTTTTAACTGGAGATAAGAGTCACTGCCATCCTCAGATCTCAGCCTTCTGAATAGTTAGGATTACAGGCATGAGCCACTGGCGCCCGGTTTTCTGTACGTTTTGTATGTAAGTTTATCTGTTTTGGGGAGGATAAGGGCGAGCACAGAAATGGTAGGACAAAGGGTGAACAAATGTAGCAGTGTTACTCAGAAGACACTATGTTGAAAATGAGCTATACAACTTGTGGGAGAGGGGTGAGGAGGGAAAAACTGGGAGAAAAACAAGGGAAGGAGACAGTGGTCAAAAAGTACTCATTACCTGATTTATGTAAACTGTAACCCTTCTGTATATCACCTTTACAATAAAAAAAAAGTGGGGTGGGGGAGATAACTACAAATACGTTGATAAAATTAAAAAAAAACAATTTTGATGTACTTTGGTTTTCTAGACCATAGGTAAAGAACAGTCTAGAAAGCACAGTACTTACAGTAGATTATTTGCCCTGTGCAAAAAGGAAAAAAAGGTGCAAAAGGAAAATTTTTTCTCTGTTCTCTCAATAAAAAAAAATTGTGGTACTCTACCACTAGGCTATATTCCTTGCCCCCTTAATTAAATTTAGTTCTTTTTTTTTTTTTTGGTCGGATATGGGGCCTG